GCCTCATGGCTCCTACGACCGCGCTCAACAATTAGCCTTTTCACCAGCAGCAACCTCCAACTCACGCTGCCGCACGGCAACCAAGCAACCTCCAGGCCACTCGCCTTTCACTAGCCTTTCTCCTTACCGGCGCGCGCCGCGCTACCTCACCGGTCAATCATCTCCGCAGCCACGGTCCTTTTCAGGGCCAACAAACTGTTCCGAAGAAGTGGGTTGTCATCGGAGTAATGACAAAGACACACATCGACGACAAGAGCCCCACACTATTGTTCAGTTACAACTGTACCTGTATTTTGAGATCCAAATTTACAATTAGATGTTCAGATGTCGCAAGAAATACCTAACCTCATTATATTCACATATACAGAACAGATTAATAGGTGTTCAGAATATTTAAATATTGTACAATATTGTCACATGTAGGGTGGTACACATAACAAAAATGATGGGTTCTGGTTTGGATGATTGGATTTATTAGCACTTTGGTTACAATCTCTCTTCATCACATATACTACAGCGCTGTCGCTGATCGACACATTATACAGTTCACCCTTACACACTAAGGTGTTCAGTTTTTACTAGTTGTATCCTGGCAATGGAGATTATTCCACTTCTGTTGCTCACTGGTTAACACTTCACAGGTGAACCCTCAACTGAGTTGTCATTAAGATAACACCTTGGCATGGACCCCATAGAAGGAAACCACCTCTATTATTTTAGAGACATATTTACCTTGTCACTGTGGATGCAGGGCTACATATGCTCGGTATAGTTCACACAACTTCATTAGGCCGCTTTAACCCTTTGAAGCTTGAAGAGAGAAAGAAAACCAGAAGGATATAACACGCCGGCAGCTTGGTTTGTTAGAATCGGGGAGCAGTTTCAGGGTGCAGATGAAGACGGGGTCAGCAAGTTCTTCTGAAACATTGGTAAACATCAACCAGAGTCAAAGTCACCACTGTTAAGGACACAGATCATGTGCATGATTCTAGCTTTGCTGAGTCTGAACAACAATACAGTTTCTGCCACAGAAAACATACTGCGTCTCCATTACAAACACCAAGCAGTTAATATTGTGTAGGGAAATAATCGCTGTTTATTGCAAGAATCGTGCGCAAACCCACAGGCACACTATATGAGCATAACCACTCTACATGGTAGGATTAAGATCGCGGAGTGTTCGAGTCTCATGTTACGACCGACTGTCAGACAGTTGTGGGTTTGTTGGTGTGGGGCGCTCTCTTTGACGACAGGACGGGTCTGTCACTTACAATTGCTGCTGGTCCTCGCCAGCGAAATCATTCTCGGGTCTGAGTCCCATGGGACTCGCGACCATATTTTACTGTCTCAGATTCGAGACTTCCCTTTCCGTCGCCTCCTATGACTCGCAGGGCTACCGTGGAGGTATTCAACACTGCCTCCACACGGGATGAGATCACGGATATTTTGCTTTGATCGTTTAAATACTAGACACGATAGACCTAAATAAACTAACATTAGCCTTAGAATCTTCTCTCTGAAAACTAAAGATAAATGCAAAATGTCCCGATGAGGTCACTGGAT